TATTGATTAGACAGGTATATTGGATAATTATATTATTATATTAAGTAATGATTAATATATTTACATATCTAGAATAATCTGATACGTTTGATTATCATCATTAGAACAATTACGATATGGATGAGTTATAAATGTTTGTTTATATTTTAAATTAGCCATTTAAAGCTCAAATGCAGCCTTATTAAATTTATATTTATGTTATATAGTAATAATAATTATTGATTTGATATTATTTAATGTTAATTATTATTTTATAAAACTCTATTATTAAAAAATTTATTCAGAAAGTATTATCTTTGTCTCGAAATTAGATATCTCTATTTTTAAAGAGAAAAACTGGAAGATCAGCGTCTCTTATTGTCAAATGTTTCTAATCATCAAATGTTTTCGTATCTCAATTAAAAAATAATTTTTTTCACTGTATGTACTATTTATTGTGAAAAATATCATTAGAATTTTAATGATTGAATTCACTTGATGATCGAAAATCCAATCTTTGTTCTATATTTTGTTATAGTATTTTATTAATTTTGTATTTTATTCTTATGTTAATTATTCATTATACTATTACGCATATCTGTTGAAATGTTATAAAATATAATGATAATTCTTCATCAGTATATTGAAATTATATGGGAAATTATGCAAAAAATATGTGGATAGAGCATTAATAAAACAGTAAGTTTTTATTTTTAGATAGTTCGCATTGATGCGATCGATCTCCTGATTAATTATTTAATTAAAGATATTACGATTATCAAAAAAAATTTTAAGGGTTTAAATTAAAAAAAAAATTTAAAATTATACATTATTATTATGCAAATGTTTTCTCACATTAATGATTTTTTTTATAGATTATAGAAATCTGATATGAAATTTCCGTGAGAAAAAAGAATTATATTTTTGCATAGCTCTATGCATACAGACACTACGTTACTCGATAATAGTGCACTGGCTCAGTAATCTGTCGTCATCTCGTGAGTCATCGAATGCCAGTCATAGCTGTATTCTCTAGTAATCTGGGATTGCAGAAACAGACTGCGTGGAACTTTCTTACCGCTCCGCAGATCTTGAGGTTTGCCCTCATTTGCTTTGCATTTACGCGAAAAATTTTCAAATAAACTTTACATATCAAATATTAAAAATTTTTATTAATCACAGGTCATTTATATCTAAATTTTTTTTATCAATTGTTGACATTTATTGTATTGACAATTAATACATTATTAATAAATAATGTAAGACAAATTCTTTGATGAAGATAGTCAATTATGATCTGCTTTAGTGGATATAATTAGGTAATATAACAATTAATGAAATATTGAAGAATGAATATGTGTTACTATTATATAACCAAAAATATTTTATTTGATTTTCGTTTACTTTTACTAATGTAGATTAAACTCGAGTTAATTTACTTTTTATCTTTTTCTAATGTCCGTTTCTATCAATACAGATTAACTTTAATCCAATTTAATTCAGTCTTTATCCTTTTCTAATTCTTAGAATTGAAAAACGATAAAAAAGTAAGATTAAAATTAATCTACATTGATAGAAACGGATATAATTGTTAGAATTAGAAGAAGATAAAAAGTACAAGTTAAATTGAGATTAAGGTATCTGTGATAGAAATGAACATTTAAGATTGCACATAAATCTATTGCATTCCGACTGCGGTCTTACGGGGATACGATTTGTGCACCCTCTTTACGTAACCCAGCGCGTTTACTCTACGGAAGAGCATTGTAGCGCAGGCGTTGTGCATTTCCATCCCCACTGACGTTTTGCACCCTTTCCGAGGTAGGGATGGAGTTGCTACGGGGGTGGAGGTCTTCAGTGAGAGACTAAACGTGATACCGCACGGTACGGTCACCGTAGCGATCGAAAGTACAGTGTACATACACCCTCCTTCCCTTCCCCGTAGACGCAACACGCATATTTATGTATATACGCGACGCATATTTATATACGATCTATATTTTTGTACCAACAATAATATAATTAGATGACTTTTTTGTATCCTGAAATACGTCCAACTGGCAGAATCATTGTGTATATATACACATATATGGTGCATGAAAAGTGGTAGAACCGGCAGAGTCCACCGTTACCGATGGGTAGGACGGATATGTCAAAAACGCTCAATGCTTATAGAATGTGAGTAGACATAAAACATTTATAATATCCCCTTCCTCTTCCTCTCTTTTTTTGAATAATTTTTCCATAATTTCTCTATGATTACTTGAAGTGACAAATGGCTCAGATTTATAATATTGCAATCGTGTCGTGAAATAACGAGTGTATTTTTGAAGAGAGAAAACATTACTTTTACAAGCCATAATATAGATTTTTTTGTCCATGCTGGTATAAGCAATTTTCCAAATTCCATACTGCCATAATTTATACATCTGTTTGTTTTAATAGCATTATCTACATTTTATCTCTCTTCGTTCTGTAGACATCCACGCATCTATTTTATATTAAGTGTAAACTTATAAAAAACATAACAGAAGCAGACAAATTTATTAATAAATATGGGATTGGCAAAATGGCTGTAGTGATTATGGTTGTATGGAAGATAGCTTCTGCGGCGAATTCGACGGTGAGAGCTGTT